GGGGTAAATACATTGAAATATGGACAGAATTATTTATGCGAAAACTTGAAGTACTGATGGGAATTTTGTCTTCCCTTGGTGTTTAAACAGGAGGTATTAAGGTGCAACTATGTGGAATAGCCCAGTATGGTAACCTCGTTGGAATTACCATTGGATACACAATTACTGCATCTATCAGTATGGTGTAAGTTTAATTAAGTCTTTTTTTAAAAGAAAATATTTCAAATCTTTTTGTTATAATGACTTTAGTAGTTTATTTAGCATTTATGGCAATAATTACTACTATAGTACTAATTAATTCGTTCTTCATATTTTGAATTTTTGGGTGATTCAGGGCAGTAGTAAGGTCAAATTGTTTCCACAAAAAGGGGCACCAAGCCAGCTGCTCAGTATCAAATTACCCTTATATGATTATCTTTGCAGCTATACAAATAGTTCTTAGCCAAATACCAAACTTCCATAAGCTTTCATGGCTATCCATTCTTGCTGCAGTTATGTCTTTTGCTTACTCTCTTATTGGTCTTGGACTTTCCATTGCCAAAGTTGCAGGTACTACTCTCACATGTATACGTGTTTGTTTGGTCGGGAAACAAGTTATCTCATAATTAGCTATCTCGGGATTAATTATCATATTCTTCCATAGGAAATAAAAAAATATTATAATCCCGAAATTAATTATATCATGATTTATCCCAACCAAACGTGTGATAAACTTATCTCCTGGGATTAATTATCCATTATATATCCCTCGTACCAAACGAGCTCTGAATAAATATTTCTACAACTACAACAACAAGCTCAGTAATTTTTCACAAGTGGGGTTTGAAGAGGATAAGATTATGTAGCGTTACCCCTATCCTGAAAGGGCAGAGAGACCGTTTCTGATAGACCCTCGGTTGGAGAAGACCCCTGAATAAATATTTATATAATTAGATTACTTATTAAGTAAATATTAGTAAATCTATTTATAACATTCGTTGATAATTTAATAAAAAATACTACTAGTAATTAACCTACTATTATATGTTAAAAGTAAGTGAGTAAATATGTATTTACATTATCAGGGGATATTATTTTTGTCAGTGATTAATTTTGTATTATTATTGTGGTCCGTGAAAACAGTACTAATTATCTGCAATTTATTTTTAAAAAACTTTGTAGGTGCAGGGCACCATGTAAAGACAAGCCTAACAGGGGTACAAGTAGGGGTGGACGTGTCAGGTTCAGAGAAACTTTGGAGAAGCTTCCAATCCATTGGAGATATTGCCTTTGCTTATGCTTTTGCCACCATTCTCATTGAAATACAGGCAAGAACTAATTCCTTCTTCAATCTTTAGGATTCTATACAACGATTTGTAGGGTCATTACATCTTTCTTTGGATGCGCATCTATATATATATATATATATATATATATATAAACATAATTTTTTTGTATATGTATAATCGAATAAAAAAGCAATTGATTCAGTTCACACAGTAAAACCATGCAACTCATTTCACTGGAAGAGCAATGTTAGGTACCTATTGGAGTCAAAACGAAGGTTGGCATGTGGTTTGGTATCTGTCTATATAATGAAGTGTAGCCTGTGGTATATCTGAATATACTGTAGCTTTCAGACAATATTCAGCCACATGTCGGCCAATTTTATCACACGAGTATATGTTGAGAAAAGAGTTCAATTAGGTTCTATATGCAACAAGGGGACGTTTGGTTGCCGGTTAGAGTTATGCATGGTATTAGTTATATATGTATTAGTTATGCAGGAATAAGTAATGCATGGATTAGTTATGCATGTATTTAGTTATGCAAGGTTGAGTTATGCAAGAATTTGTTATGCGGGGATTAGTTATACGGTAGTTATATAAGGATTAGTAATATAAATGTAATGTGAGT